CTAAAAGCTTTAAGAAGACAAGGCATTAGCAGGAAGAACAAGGAGACATGGATCCTGATATGCAATATGTCTACGTATGCAGAAAGCATCTTGGTATGTTTGCAGGTGCCTAAGCGAACAACATCCGCTTGCTAACACATAGCACGAGAGGTAACTTCATATGTATTTATTTCCAAAATAGAGCCAGATCTAGAGAGAAGTTGGGGTGCAGTTGATAACTAAAATGGTGGGACATGTTAGCTGTTAGAATATTAACTGTTTTAGCAAGGCATTTGCAAACATGTCAATGCATAGCTTTTGATTTATAGCACAAGTTGCATACTGAAAAATGCTTCAGCTTTACTTACAGAAATATAGTAAACATTTAACATTAACTGACATTTGAAAATTTGACTCAACAGCAACAACATGCTTGCAACACACAAAGGCATACTGATATCAGGATCCTACAGTTTCCTCGTTCTTCCTGCTAATGCCTCACTTTTGTCTTCTTAAAGGTTTTTTCCCAGCAGTTTTTAAAACTGTCATCTGGGTTCTTTGTCTTACTTGTAGTGCATCCTACCACACAGCATCTTTTAAAAGACCAAACTGTGAACAAGGCGCCTTCACACAATACCAAGTCAAGACAGAGATGATTTGTGCCCCCCCCCACCCCCAATGTGGGCGTGGGCTAAATGAGCTCAGTCTCTATGGAGGATTGTTCTTTATTCCAACTAATTACTGATGCCTGGATATTGGTATAATTTGAGACAACTGATGTAAGCTAGGTGTTTAAGGTTGCTGCTCAAGATCTATTTTAAAGCAGCTAAGAAGAAAGTCTCTGCATGCTTATCTAAAAACCAACTCATGTTAACATTTTAGAGGGTAAACCGCTATCGATTGACAATGGCAGAACAGCTCCAGGTGTGTTAGGCTAATCCCTGCACTCATACTGCACTACTGGCCACATCTCATCAGTTGTGTCACACCAAGAGTTTTATCATTGACATGTAATTGCATGTGTTTGTTTATTACATCACAGACTTGGGGTGTGACCACAGGTGTGACATACTTGAAAGTCTGAACTACAGAGTATTGCCATTTATCCTTCAACTGTGTAGAATCAACTAGGTAATTTAAGATTTCCATACCCTTTACACCACCTGTAACTGTTATTACAGCTGACTGCATATTGCACATTTTCTAACTTCTTTAATCTCCTTATCTGTATCTCACTGGTTTCTGTCCCACTGTTTCCTTTGCTTTGTGTCACATAGACTAGTATTCCCAGCTCTCCCTCTCATTCTGCTCATTCTGGCTCTCCCTCTCTACCTCCCCCAGTCCCCTGCTCACTGATGGCTCACTTGCTTTCCCATGTTCTCTAAAACAATGCCGTTAACTCAGAGCCAAGAGGCCCCTGCTACTAGCAGTCCATTAACCACTCTGGTTTCACGCTGGCACTCAGTCATCCTGTTCTTCAGTTTACAGTATGCTCTTCTTCTCCTGAGATGCAGAAGACAGGAAACTGTGTGTTTGTGTGTGCGCAAACAGCGTGGCCACTGAGTAGACACATTTAAAAAAAAGAAATTAAAAAAAGGTCAAAAAGAATCAAATGTACACCAGTGAAAATTTAACTACTTTACTCCTCAGACTACTTGAATCAGGCTCTGTGACTGAACAGTTGTGACCTAACAAATTCATGATGTTATCTTAAATTAAGCATTTGCTGAGGTGATTCCCCCAGGAAGTAGGTGCACTGCTGAACAAAGGCACATGCAGGCACAAGATTTTATGCTTGAAGGAAGGTGCCATTATCTTTCATATTAATCTGACTTTGAACAGCAACATTTTAAACTACAGTCAACACACATATCCATCCCCACTGGCACCAAATCCAGATACAATAGCATATTCATTTCAGACAAACAGAGAACAAGTACCCCATAATTTCAGTGCTTATGGCTGGTCAGTGGTTGAAATGTATTATGGTTTTCCCCTGACGCATCAACACAAATGCATTACTTTCATTAAAGGGTTGAACAAATATCGTAATCAATAATGGCAATATATACTCATGGAATTTAAAAATGCACCACCTGTATTGGTATTAGTGGTGTGCTTTTAACTTCCATGAGTATATGTATATGATATGTTCTGTATCAAGACACTAAAGCTGGAAATCTGTGTACCTTGACTTCAATTCAGAGTGCTATAATCCAATTACACAATTATTCTTGAGGCATCAAATGTTTAATTTAATCCCACATTCAAAATATTATGATGAAAAAAATTAAATCACACTGATTTATTACCACAAAAGAAGTAATCTAACTGGGAGACTGAGGTTGCATGCATGAGCAAGCTGGCATATATTCCAATTTAGTGAATATCCTAACAAGAGAGAAATGTGTGCTGCTGTGGGTTCTCTCTTTGGCAACAACTACAACAGGTTGGTCCAGTACCAGGCAACATGTGTAATGTGCATGTGAGTTTTTATGTGGGAGGTTACAAAGTTACATTACATGAGGAAGATTATCACTTTTCACATGATCAGAACTGGCAAGCTCTTTTCCAAGAGAAGTTTTATGTAAAGCAAGCCATCTTATAACACAGCTTCAAATCTCTGAGAGTCCTATTACTTTGGCTCAAAATACAACACATGACAATATGACGCATCAATAACCAGTAAATAAACAATTAGGGTCTGAGAGAGAGAGAAGGCTGCCCCAGAAGCCCAAGAAGGATGTGCTCAAGATGCACAATTCACTGCAATCATTGATTATTGGTCTCCTTGATAAGTAATATTCTAAGCCTGAAAAAAGTGAACTTCCACCCTTATTTTGGGGGTGGGGGGGCTGTGGGGGGGTATACAACGTGCCAAACTCAACAAGCAACTTGCATCATAAACAGCTGTCCAAGGTACTGATCCCTGGCTAATCCACACTATGCCTGCCTGCTGGGTTGAGCCAGCTTGTTTATGTCAACAGCATTTGCGGATACTGATCCTTTCCATCTCTCTGGGCCTGAAGAACACAGATAGCACTTCAGAGAGCACTGCTAAAATGATCTGCTTTTGGCTTCAAATGAAATACCGGGATGAGACTCGACTACAGATGTACCTGTAGGCACAGTGAATTACATTAAGCATTTTTGTTAAATGCAACTACACGTTACATGCCCCATAAAATAGCCAACGTAGGAAATGAGAGACACACAGATTCACACAAATGTTCAGCCTTACAGACAGGTAATACCATGCAGCAGAGGAACATTACACTAATGGAGTATGTTTTCATACATACAATGAAGAGACACACACAAGGGTGACTTTGGCTAAAAATACCATGGCGACCACACACACACACACATCACAAAGTCATATATATATCACATCATGTTATTATGCCTAAAAAAGCAAATGTGAAGCCATAGTTAAGCTCATGCCACAGACATGGTAGCTGAGACATTATGTCACACTGTCAACAGATAAGACTACTCCCCTTTACCCCTGAATGAACTCTGGTTGTAACATAAAAACTATGCCAGAACAGATTCAAATTTCAGAGTTAATAGTGTACTGATTTCAAGGACATAGGCCTACCTCATTCTAACGTGAGCAGTCTAGTTAAACACACACAGACATGCACTCACACTTTCAGGCAGATGCACTCAAGCACATACTCATGTATGCAGAGTCAGTCATCTTGGGACATTGCACAATTGGTTTCTGTTGATGACTCGTGTTTACTTATCTACTAACTAAACCTGTGGGTATATAATACTACTATACTATTAGACCATTCACCACAACACTTGCTTTATTTTCATTTACTTCTCAATCTAGTCTTTGAAAATGAAATTTGTTTTCAAAGGCTGAAAAAGCACAAGAACATAGAGTTAAAGTACAGTATGGTCAACCTGTCACTGTGCTTGCATGCTAGTGTAGACTAACTGTAAATTTGCCAAGTCTTGCCTTTAATAAAAACCATCTCTAACCTCCTACCCCCACTGCTTGGCATAAGTGTTGTTGGACCTATACCCAGATGGTACTATTTACATGAAAACGCCTAAACAAACTGCTCTGAATGGAACTGGTGTTGTTCGTTCATTCCTGTCAGCAGGATATAAAACAGTTTGTGGTTTAAACAAGAGGGCCTGTGAGTGGGATAAAGAGGGCCTGAAAACTCTCTGAACATACATGTGCATGAATGTATGTGTGCACATACTACTTGGTGACCAGATGTGTCCTCCATGCATCTTCTAAAGTTACCATTTGTCAGTGTACAGGATCAATTTTCACCTGTTGCTACACATGGCCATGGGGTTAAATTACAGTTTGCTTTGCTTGTGACAGACATTACTACTAGTGACCCGTACTGTTCTGCTCCCATCGAGGCACCACAATGAATCACTCATGCTGACACAGCCAGGTAGACAAATGATGTCAATGTGATCAAGTCACCTTGAGAAAATTCAAGGTGTCAGTGCCACACCGCACCACTGAAAATTAGGTCATTCATGTAACAATTTTATTCAACTGATTTAGTTTCATATAGTAATTAAAACCCTCTGAACTCTGTTAAAGAACTACAGCAATCATAAGTAGTGTATGTATCGTTAGATAAATGTCACGTTATGTTAGTAAGTTTTTCAGATGTTAGTGGTTAAAATAATAAATCTTCTGAGTCCTCTGCTGAGATATTGCAGTTTGTCAATACTGCATAACTGCACAGTGCAAGATTTCCAAGCTGGAGCACCAGCTACTTCCTCATATACTGACACTTATTTGACACGAATCGTGAATTCAATATATTAGAATTCAATAGATTTCAAGCTGGTGCACATCTTTAAGGAATCGAATTCATTCAAGCTGGTGCACATCTTTAAGGAATTAAAATAACTAACGTTACAGGTGTGGTTGACGGAGTAACTATTCGTAGTGTTATGCTACTTTAAAGACCAAGTACCCAAACAAATTAAGGTTATAGAAGTGCAGCAGGTTGAACCCGTGGGACACTTACAAACTTCTTTTTCGAATCTCCATCTTCATAATTCTTCTTTGATTTTTTGTCCTTCTTCAGACCTGCAGCTGAGGCAGAAGTCCCTGTGTTGGGATCCATACTTAATCCGTTTGCTTGGATTGTGTGTCAAAACAAACTCGTGTAGCGATAATTTCCCAAACTCTTAAAAGAAAAAAAGTTTCCTCCAACTGTCTTATGCTGAGAAAACGCCAACTGTTAATTACTTTGGGCCTAGGCTACTGCTTTGGCTAACTAGCCAAAGTTAGCACAGTGCTGCTAATGACTTGGTAGACAGCCAAATACACCGCACTAAGCCGTTCGCTGCATCACGGAAGGAGGGAAATTCAAAGCACAGCCCAAGTCCTCGGGACGCAAAGTACGAAAACAACCTGTTGTGTCTTTAAAAGGCAAATGAGCACGTTACTCTACCAGCATCCACATGTAACGCAAACTGAAGCTTCAACAATGTTAAGTCCACAAAGTATGCGGTACAAAGTGCGCTAACGTTAGCTTTAGCTAGGCTAGCTCGTCTGCTACAGTAGGTAGTAACGTCTCCGAGGGAAAAACAAACTTCGCTCTTCCCACTTTAACGGGCTATTTTGGCAACTACAGTGCGCACGACGAATCGGTGTTACGGATGACTTGAGTCGACAGTATCTCCCAAATTAGTTTCCATGACTGCTACAAGTTTAAATAACTTTTCAGCCTCCGAATGACAGCGAAAAAGCAACTACGTTTTTAGCTCTAAGGAAGCCTTCCTCTTTCTTTTGACAATCTAATCAGGCCTGGTTGGGGAGGAGCCTGTGCTCTGCAGCTACACCTGAGAGGCTTTAACAGGCTGCTCCAGCCTGAGGGTCCAGGGATTTTAAGCTCCATCAGAAGCTACGTTCAATTGCTGAAAAGAAATTAGTGCGATAGAAATCATCTAAATCCCAGAATCTTTAGCCCGAGAAAGAATATTGTATATTAATTGTTGTCACTATCAGAGACTTGTGTTTAGAACTATACCGGAAATGATATAGTCTAACAGTGTGTAACAAGTAAAGGTTAAGGTGTTTAATGTGTTCTGCACCTTTAAATGTTAGGGGCACGATTCAGTCATTATTGTGTCATAAATTCGAATCTAAAATTTAGAAGAAAGAATTCTAAAATGAAAACACACTAAAATCACCCACCACCAGCAGAAAGCACAGGTTAACAATTACATGTGAATATTAATATAGGCTACTTTGGAAAGTATGACAAGGACTACGCTAATATTTAGTTCTCATATTAACAAGTTCTATCATAGAACTAAAGCTAATTTCCATACAGTGAAGTTTACCCTATTGTTCATAGTGGAAATAGTCTGACTGTTTCACGGATCAGCATTAAATCAGTTCAGGGAAGACAGGGTTTCCACTGGCAACCTGATTTTTTTTTCCTAGCATATTTATTTATTGCATGTAGCCTAAAAGCTGCATAAGTGAGAATATATAGCCTGTAATTAAAGAGTAGCTTGTATGGTGTAATCTCAGTTACAGCTCTTGCCTCTGTTTTCCTCGGCCCACAATTACAAAAAGCCTGTAACTCCACTTTCAGCAGCCATTTCCTAGGTTTAAATGAAAGACTGACCAGAAAGCCTGTACACAGGCATCACATAAATTCCTAGACATTTCACAGACGGTTCATCTTTCACATACCGTATCTACAAATGAATTTGGGTCATGTTGATAAACAAGATCTTCGATCATTATCTGTAACTTGCCTTTCCTTGTTGAACTAACAACATGATGTTGCTTCATTTCTGTTTCTATTTTGTGAAGAAGTGTTTGTGCGTTTTAAAAGTTGTGCTTGAGCACTTTGCCGTTTTGTAGGGCTGCATTCTTACTGTGAAAACAAATAAACAAAGCTGTGGCGCCACCAAGCGGTTAAAATATAAATAGCATCCAGTGTCACCTTTTTTTTAGTTGAAGTAAGTTAATGCATCAATAGAAAGTGATGATGTAGCTATATCCTACCTGTACTTTAGAATTATTTCTTTGCATTGGCCATCGCAATTGAAACTGTGTGGTGGTCAGTTGAAGAAGAGGAGTATTTATATAGGCAATTGCAGGCAATTATTGAATCAAGAAGGCACATAGATCATTGTTCTGAATGTCTTCTTCATAGTCAGTCGGTCAATACAAGTCCAAAACTCCGGGCCCTCGCATTTTTCTTTCTTTTGCCTACAATGACTTATTTCAGATTATTTTGATTACGTACCACAGACCACAATAATAACCATGTTTAGTTAATCCCAGTGGAGTTTTAGATCTCAGATGAACAAATGTCCTCGGGGATTCTTTAATTCCAGTTTCCCTGGCTTGATTATTACGAGATATCATGTCTAATATCTGAGATACAGCGTTTCCCTTTCCTCTCAGACATAAACAAACCTGTACGCGCACACGCGCAGCTACAGGATTACAGAGATAGGCTCATCAATCTGTCTTGGTATGTGAGAGAGGTTTTCCAACAACAAGCTTGAAGAGGATTTGCGCATCACCGGTGGCACTGAAACAGACAACAGTTTGGTTTATCACAGGACTCAAGCCTCCGATCTTCATTCTCCGGGATATTGGCGCTAAAAATGCGGGGGAGAAGTTAATTAAAAGTGAAAGTGCACGATAAGGCTGGCAGCCCTGTGGTACTCGTTTAAAAGCCTCTCATTAACAGTTGGCCCATCACATCGGCAGCTGCACTATCGTTTTCAGGATATTCATTCAAATATAGGTGTAGAGTTTTAAAAAACTGCCACGTCAAAGTAGACTGTATGATGACACGGATCTGTCATTTAATCACCATTTTACAGGGTGTATTGTGTATTGATTGCATCATTTCACAAGACAAGACAGTTAAGTTACAGTCATACAAAATATCTATATACAAACGTCTCAAGACCCATTTTCTGCTGATACAAGTCACGTTTTCTCGGAATAAAACATTTTATCAGGGTCAGTGTGAATTTGGACCCAAACTGCAAGCGCCAGGTCAAGTTTTTAGCAACTAGGTGACAGGCTTGGGGGTCTACTGTGTAGGGGAAAGGACAATTTGTTTCTAAAGTGCTTTGCGCGGACCATATGGGCAATGGGTGATGAACTGTTTACATTTCAACCATTAATTGCCAGAGAATATATAAGTCACAAATTTTAAAAGGGGATATCTTATCTCTCGACCTGCAACAGGCCCAAACACACGTATCTTCTCAAACAACCCCCATGGTCTGAGGGATTCACTTTTGGGGATGGGGCTGTGAGCCCTAAAGTGAAAAATGTGGGCAACATTTGGCATAATCCAGGCCCTGACTAAAGTCAGGTCGCATTGAGGATTCGAGGTTACAACTGAAAAATACTTGAAATGTCCTGTGCAGCAGTAGTTCAGGGATGAGCGGTTAGTCCCTCAACCCCCACACGACTCTCACTAAAGACCCAGAGTCATGTATGTTTTCCTGGGGGTCTAGTCTTACTTGTAGGAGGTCCGTGCCTCTCTCAGCGACCTATCATATGGCATGGAGGCAAAGAAAGAGTTCCGGAGCTGGCAGTTAATGAAGAACACAATGAGCAGCACCAACAGGAAGAGCAGTAGGCACATGACTATGTAGGTGATCAGGTCCGGTTTGTGAAGCTCGCCCTCCCGGAGCCCTCCTCCCCCTCGCCCCGTGGTGGGTCTCAGAAGAGCGGCCACGCTCACCGAGCCGCCGTGGGAGGCATTCAAGGACGAGGGGGCGTGCGTGGAGGACTGGGCCATGAGTACCAGGTCGAAGTCTGGGGTGTTGGTGGTGTTGAGGAGGATCTGCCTCAGCATGGCGCCCCGTGGGCTCACCGGCTGCGTCGGTCGGCTGGAGGGTTAACAGACATGGAGAGTGTTATATAGCCTACTGACCCCGTGTTTGTCAGTCTTCGTCCTATTTCTGATGTAGCGACACCTATAATAAGAATCAGGAGATTCATTTGTGGCAAATGTTGGAACAGACTAGGAAGATTAAAAACCCATTAATGCCATTGCAAGCAAAACAGCCTACCTTATTGTCTGGCAAGGTCACTCATAAACTCCATCCAGTGACACAGATAATCTACACTGAATGTACAAATTTGGCCATAGTAATGCCAAAAGCGGTCATGAAAATGTCACAAAGTAGGCTGGAGTCACTGCATTTTGCTCTTTACGAAATCTACCAGCAACGTTACACGAACCAAAGCACAGTGTTACAAGAATTACTTACTTTTGATATGTACTGCGAAGAGTTCCGCAGGTGAGCTTGAAAAGACAAAATCGCGGCTCCGCATTCCTCAGCGTCCCCGGCGCTGTCCGCTCCAGCCCCGCCGAGGATGCGTCGTGGAGAAGCGGCGGGTCGATAGATAAGAAACTGCGCCCACAGACCATATGTCGCTGAGTGAGGTATTAACGCAGCGCCTTCCGTCACATTCAACCGAACTGTTCAGATTCTCGTGTCAGCGAAGATCAGGGTCCCATGAAGGAATACATTACCTACGTCCACTTGTTGGCGTTAAAATCCAAATCGTCCTGCCAGCCGTTAGGCTAGGGAAAATACGTTATCTTAGGCTGCTGTAGCGATATCCAAATGACTCTAGGGTCTGTCAGGGGAGGTGAAGTTCAGCTGCATCGGTGGTGAGCACACGTCCTCTTGTGCGTCGTAGTGCGCAGTACAAAATTGCCTTGTGCGTACAGGGCGCAGAAGAGGGGAACACCGGATCTCCCGAATTTCCAACCCTTTGCTTGTTCTTTTATCCAGTAACGGGGTCGATACGTGTTGGAGAGATGTTACGGACAATGTGTCCTTACGGAATTATCAATCCAGATAAAAATAAGAAGAAAGCATGCAGCAATGAAGGACAAAACACAATAGGACATCGGATCGTAAACAATGTCCCATCTTCTTTGAGTCGCGTGTGAAAGAGAAAGAAAGAGAACTGCAGATCAGGAGGGGGCAAGGACGACGCTGGAGGGACGTCACCGGACAGGGATGTGTATTACTGTAAAGAGAGAGTCACAAGGCGAAAAGTCCTATCTATCTATCTATCCCTCCCTCATATTATTTTCAAACTGATGAGAGAAATTGAGTCAGAGTCATTTCTTTGCCAGTGTGTTGAATCTCACACTGGGCAGATGAGAGAACAGGAAAAGGTGTTAGATTGAGAGTGTGTATGAACTCACAGAGGTGATTCAATTTTAAAATAGGTTACAGGATAGTCTATTGTCTAAGTCATAGTGCTTCACCCATTAAAAGTGTTGAATATACATTACTCTCTGTTCACATACTATAACAGGTAAGACTTTTATTAAAACGTAACCAAACTGCGCTTTCATCCTTTCACACGACGTGAACTGTCTGTGTATAACATAAATGTGTTTGCTCGCTGTGAAATAGGTTTGGCTTTGGTGCTAGATGCTAAAACGAAGGTGACAAACATGAAGGTTGGAAGCCAGTTTGCTCTTACATACTTCAGACATGAGCATGCTGACAAAGGGCCAGGACCTAAAAGCTCTGCCGATCTGTTTCATATTCATCTGCACCTGTTCTATTGCAACAGAATGGTTCAGAGGCATAGGGAGTAAAGATGGAAGGGCACGAACACACATGCACACAAAAACATTGCATCAAAAATACTGTAAACCATCTTTAAACTGGAAAACGTATTTGATGCACACATATACTGTATATACACAAACCAAAAATACAAAGTTTGAGGGAATCTAGTCTACAAATAACTGACAAACACCTAGTGGTGTCCCACATCAATTTCTATTCAACAATAAAGAGGATTACAGTGGTCAACAGTTTGGTAGAATGTGCATGACATGTGAGAAATGCAGCCTA